CTCTCTGGCCAAAGTTGTTCTTGATAATATGATAGCCCTTGACTAGTTTTTAGCTGAACAAGGAGGTATATGTGCTGTGGCAAACACCACCTGCTATACATGGGTTAAAATTTCTGGGCAAGTTAAAGCTGTGACATAAGAGTACTGAGCAAGTCATGTGGCTGAAAAAGGTGACTCCTTCAACTGGGTCTTTCCTTGACTTATTTGATTTTGATTGGTTTGGATTTGGGGACCATGGCTTCAAAGTGCATCCAGACATTAGGAATTATTCTGCTTATAAGAAACATAGTAACATCCCTGGCACATTGTAGGCACTTAAAGGCTTTAAATGTATGCTCACAGTCACTGGCCACTAAGCAACTGATCTCCCTAAGACTGGAACATCAGAAAAAGAACAAAGAGAATGACCAACTTAAATATTCTGAACCTGAAATTGTGGCCTGTCCTCATCACAGAGATTAAGCAAAACGTCATGAGCTGTGAATACCACATAAAGGATCAACAAAAGCTTTGAGGACTACAGAACAGTAGCTGAGAGTGGCACTAATGCCATACATATATATATATATATATATATAAATATATATATATATATATATATATATGTGTATATATATATACATATATATATTTTAGCTTTAATTTGTGATTTACTATTGAGAAAATAACAAAAATATTTTATACAGTAAATTCACTTATCATTTATGGAGACCAAAAACAAATTGGAATAATGTTTAGAATATTTTAAAGCAAGGTAAAATAAACCAAGCAAACCAACCAACAAACAGCTTACCGATTTAAGCTGAGAGTTCTTTTTTATTTTTAACATCGTTATTGCAGTATAATTGCTTTACAATGGTGTGTTAGTTTCTGCTTTATAACAAAGTGAATCAGCTATATATATATATAGAGAGAGAGATATAGATATAGATATAGATATCCCCATATCTCTTCCCTCTTGCATCTCCCTCCCTCCTACTCTCCCTATGCCACCCCTCTAGGTGGTAACAAAGCACCAAGCTGATCTCCCTGTGCAATGCGGCTGCTTCCCCCTAACTATCAATTTTACATTTGGTACTGTATATAAGTCCATGCCATTCTTTCACTTTGTCCCAGCTTACCCTTCCCCCTCCCCGTGTCCTCAAGGCCATTCTCTAGTAGGTCTGTGTCTTTATTCTCGTCCTGCCCCTAAGTTCTTCATGATGACCCTTTTTTTTCTTAGATTCTACATATATGTGTTAGCATACAGTATTTGCTTTTCTCTTTCTGACTTACTTCACTCTGTATGACAGACTCCAGGTCCATCCACCTCACTACAAATAAATCAATTTTGTTTCTTTTTATGGCTGAGTAATATTCCATTGCATATATGTGCCTCATCTTCTTTATTCATTCGTCTGTCGATGGACACATAGGTTGCTTCCATGTCCTGGCTATTGTAAATGGAACTGCAATGAACATTGTGGTACATGACTCTTTTTGAATTATGGTTTTCTCAGGGTATATGCCCAGTAGTGGGATTGCTGGGGCGTATGGTAATTCTATTTTTAGTTTTTTAAGGAACCTCCATACTGTTCTCCATAGTGGCTGTATCAATTTACATTCCCACCAACTGTGCAAGAGGGTTTCCTTTTCTCCACACCCTCTCCAGCATTTATTGTTTGTAAATTTTTTGATGATGGCCATTCTGACTGGTGTGAGGTGATACCTCATTGTAGTTTTGATTTGCATTTCTCTAATGATTAATGATGTTGAGCATCCTTTCATGTGTTTGTTGGCAATCTGTGTATTTTCTTTGGAGAAATGTCTATTTAGGTCTTCTGCCCATTTTGGATTGGGTTGTTTGTTTTTTTGACATTGAGCTGCATGAGCTGCTTGTACATTTTGGAGATTAATATATTGTCAGTTGCTTCATTTGCAAATATTTTCTCCCATTCTGAGGGTGGTTTTTTGGTCTTGTTTATGGTTTCCTTTGCTGTGCAAAAGCTTTTGAGTTTCATTATGTCCCATTTTTTATTTTTGTTTTTATTTCCATTTCTCTAGGAGGTGGGTCAAAAAGGATCTTGCTGTGATTTATGTCATAGAGTGTTCTGCCTATGTTTTCCTCTAAGAGTTTTATAGTGTCTGGCCTTACATTTAGGTCTTTAATTCATTTTGAGTTTATTTTTGTGTATGGTATTAGGGAGTGTTCTAATTTCAGTCTTTTACATGTAGCTGTCCAGTTTTCCCAGCACCCCTTATTGAAGAGGCTGTCTTTTCTCCATTGTATATTCTTGACTCCTTTATTGAAACTAAAGTGACCATATGTGTGTGGCTTATCTCTGGGCTTTCTATCCAGTTCCATTGATCTATATTTCTGTTTTTGAGCCAGGACAACACTGCCTTAATTACTGTAGCTTTGTAGTATAATCTGAAGTCTGGGCGCCTGATTCCTCCAGCTCCGTTTTTCTTTCTCAAGATTGCTTTGGCTATTCGGGGTCTTTTGTGTTTCCTTACAAATTGTGAATTTTTTTGTTCTAGTTCTGTAAAAAATGCCAGTGGTAGTTTGATAGGGATTGCATTGAATCTGTAGATTGCTTTGGGTAGTAGAGTCATTTTCACAATGTTGATTCTTCCAATCCAAGAACATGGTATATCTCTCCATCTGTTTGTATCATCTTTAATTTCTTTCATCAGTGTCTTATAATTTTCTGCATACAGGTCTTTTGTCTCCTTAGGTAGGTGTATTCCTAGTTATTTGATTCTTTTTGTTGCAATGGTAAATGGGAGTGTTTCCTTAATTTCTCTTTCAGATATTTCATCATTAGTGTATAGGAATGGAAGAGATTTCTGTGCGTTAATTTTGTATCCTGCTACTTTACCAAATTCATTGATTAGCTCTAGTAGTTTTCCGGTAGCATCTTTAGGATTCTCTATGTATAGTATCATGTCATCTAAAAACAGTGACAGCTTTACTTCTTCTTTTCCAATTTGGATTCCTTTTATTTCTTTTCTTCTCTGATTGCTTTGGCTAAAACTTCCAAAATAATGTTGAATAATAGTGGTGAGAGTGGGCAACCTTGTCTTGTTCCTAATCTTAATGGAAATGATTTCAGTTTTTCACCATTGAGAACAATATTGGCTGTGGGTTTGTTATATATGGCCTTTATGATGTTGAGGTAAGTTCCCTCTATGCCTACTTTCTGGGGGGGGGGGTTATCATAAATGGGTGTTGAATTTTGTCAAAAGCTTTTTCTGCTTCTATTGAGATGATCTTCAATTTGTTAATGTGGTGTATCACATTGACTGATTTGCATATATTGAACAATCCTTGCATTCTGGAATAAACCCCACTTGATCATGGTGTATGATCCTTTTAATGTGCTGTTGGATTCTGTTTGCTAGTATTTTGTTGAGGATTTTTGCATCTATGTTCATCAGTGATATTGGCCTGTCATTTTCTATCTTTGTGACGTCTTTGTCTGGTTTTGGTATCAGGGTGATGGTGGCCTCGTAGAATAAGTTTTGGAGTGTTCCTCCCTCTGCTGTATTTTGGAAGAGTTTGAGAAGGCTAGGTGTTAGATCTCCTCTAAATATTTGGCTTTTGTTTGTTGGAAGATTTTTAATCACAGTTTCAATTTCATTGTTTGTGACTGGTCTGTTCATATTTTCTATTTCTTCCTGATTCAGTCTCAGAAGGTTGTGCTTTTCTAAGAATTTGTCCATTTCTTCCAGGTTGTCCATTTTATTGGCATATAGTTGGTTGTAGTAATCTCTCATGATCCTCTGTATTTCTGCAGTGTCAGTTGTTACTTCTCTTTTTTCATTTCTAATTCTGTTGGTTTGAGTCTTTTTTTCTTGATTAGTATGGCTAATGGTTCATAACTTATATTTTGATCACATCTCTCCGTTAAGTTGAGGGTCTGATCAAAAGGGGAGAATTGTTAAAAAGAAATAACAGGCCCAAGTGGAGTCAGTTGTGCTAAGCCCCACATGAGCAAAGCAAGACTTAATACCTAATCTAATCTAATGTAATTTTGCACAATATTAAGGATATGTGTGCTCAAAGATGTGAAACAACAGAAACTCTTAACTGTGGAAATATAAGCTTGTTCAGCCACTTTGCCAAATAGTTTAGTATTAAGCACATAAAAATTGAACACGTAAATCATGCAACAATCTCATCATTGGGTATAAAACAAAAATCAAAAGCGGAAACTCTTGGACTTTTGTAAAGAGACATGTCCAAGGACTTGATTGACTGTTTCCTTTCCAATGTTAGGGAAGTTTTCAACTATAATCTCTTCAAATATTTTCTCAGACCCTTTCTTTTTCTCCTCTTCTTCTGGGACCCCTAGGTCTTTGAGACTGTCCTCAATTCTTTTCATTCACTTTTCTTTATTCTGCTCTGTGGTAGTTATTTCCATTCTTTTATCTTCCAGGTCACTTTTCTGTTCTTCTGTCTCAATTATTCTGCTACTGATTCCTTCTAGAGAATTTTTAATTTCACTTATTGTATTGTTCATCATTGTTTGTTTGCTCTTTAGCTCTTGTAGGTCCTTGTTAAATGTTTCTTGTATTTTCTCCATTCTATTTCCAAGATTTTGGATCATCTTTACTATCATTACTCTGAATTCTTTTTCAGGTAGACTGCCTATTTCCTCTTTATTTGTTTGGTCTGGTGGGTTTTTACCTTGCTCCTTCACCTGCTGCATTTCTCTGTCTTTTCATTTTGTTTACTTTACTGTGTTTGTGGTCTCCTTTTTACAGGCTGCAGGTTCATAGTTCCCGTTGCTTTTGGTGTCTGCCTCCAGACAGTGAGGTTGGTTCAGTGGCTGTGTAGGCTTGCTGGTGGAGTGGACTGGTTCCTGTATTCTGGTGGATGGGGCTGCATCTTGCTTTTATGGTGGGCAGGGCTGCGTCCAGTGGTGTGTTTTGGGGTGTCTGTGGACTTATTATGATTTTAGGCAGCCTCTCTGCTAATGGGTGGGGTTGTGTTCCTGTCTTGCTAGTTGTTTGGCATGGGGCGTCCAGCACTTGATCTTGCTGGCCGTTTGGTAGAGCTGGGTCTTAGCGTTGAGACAGAGATCTCTGGGAGAAATCTCACCAATTGATATTATGTCAGGCCAGGAGGTCTCTGGTGGTCCAATGTCCTGAACTCAGCTCTCCCACCTCAGAGGCTCAGCTGTGACACCACTTTGGAGCACCAAGACCCTATCAGCCACATGGCTCAGAAGAGAAGAAAAGGGAGAATCGTGCTGTGTGGCAACAAAGTGGATATTAAGGACAGAAAGGTTAAGGCAAAGTCGATTGTCTTCCACCGAAAGAAGAATCTTCAGTACTATGACATCTCCGCCAAAAGTAACTACAATTTTGAAAAGCCCTTCCTCTGGCTTGCTAGAAAACTGATCGGAGACCCTAACATGGAGTTCGTCGCCATGCCTGCTCTCGCCCCGCCAGAGGTGGTCATGGACCCAGCGTTGGCAGCGCAGTACGAGCACGATCTAGAGGTTGCTCAGACAACTGCCCTCCCGGATGAAGATGATGAACTGTGAGAAGAGTGAAGCTGGAGCCCAGCGTCAGAAGTCTAGTTTTATAGGCAACTGTCCTGTGATGTCAGTGGTGCAGCGTGTTTGCCACTTTATTATATAGCTAAGCAGAACATGTGCTTAATGTTTGGTATGCTGAAGGAGATGAATGGGCTTTGGAGTGAATGTGGCAGTTAAAAAAAAAAACAAACTTCATTTTTTTGGACCTGCATATTTAGGTGTTTTGGAACACAGTTCTTTCCTCCTTAAGTTTCAAATATAAGACTGCTACAGTCACATCACAATATTCAGTGGTAGAATCTTGTTTGTTACTGTCATTCCCATTCCTTTTCGTTTAGAATCAGAATAAAGTTGTATTTCAAATATCTAAAAAAAAAAAAAAAAAAAGAAGAAAAGGGAGAAAAAAAGAAAGAAAAAATAAAATAAAATAAAAATAAAATATAAATTAAAAAAAAAGTAGAGAGCAACTAAACCAATAAACAAATCCACCAGTGATAACAAGCACTAAAAACTAAACTAAGATAAACATAAAAGTCAGAAAGAGATCAGTTGCATACAGCAAACCCCAAGTCTACAGTTGCTCCCAAAGTCCACTGCCTCAATTTTGGGATGATTCGTTGTCTATTCAGGTATTTCACAGATGCAGGGTACATCAAGTTGATTGTGGAGATAATCTGCTGCTCCTGAGGCTGCACGGTGAAATTTCCCTTTTTCTTCTTTGTTCTCACAGTTCCTGGGGTTCAGCTTTGGATTTGGCCCCACCTCTGCATGTAGATCACCCTCTGGTGTCTGTTCTTTGCCCAGACAGGAGGGGGGTTAAAAGAGCAGCTGATTAGGCACACTTGCTCACTTAGGCCAGGGAAGGGAGGGTCACGGTAGTCATAATTGGAATGTGGGGCAAGCCTGTGGTGGCAGAGGCCGGTGTGATGTTGCAATAGCCTGAGGTGTGCTGTGTGTTCTCCCAGGGAAGTTGTCCCTGGATCATGGGACCCTGGCAGTGGCGGGTTGCACAGGCTCGTGGGCAGTGGGAGGTATGTGTGCATGGTGACCTGTGCTTGCACACAGGATTCTTGGTGGCAGCAGCAGCCGGGTTAGCGTTTCATGCCCCTCTCTGGGGTCGGAGCTGATAGCCACGGCTCATGCCTGTCTGTGGAGCTCACTTAGGCAGTGCTCTGCCTTCTGTGGGTACACAGGGAAGGAATCCCCTCTCCTCGTGCACCCCAAAACAATGGTCTCTTGCCTCTTAGGCAGTTCCAGACTTTTTCCTGGACTCCCTCCCAGCTGGCTGTGGTGCACTAACCCCCTCAGCCTGTCTTCACACAGCCAACCCCAGTCCTCTCCTTGGGGTCTGATCTCTGGAGCCTGAGCCTCAGCTCCCAGCCCCTACCTGCCCCGGTGGGTGAGCAGACAAGCCTCTCAGGCTGATGAGTGCTGGTCGGCACCGATCCTCTGTGCAGGAATCTCTCCGCTTTGCCCTCTGTACCCCATTGCTGTGCTCTCCTCCATGGCTCCAAAGCCTCCCCCCCGCCCACCTGCCATCTCCACCAGTGAAGGGACTTCCTAGTGTGTGGAAACTTTTCCTCCTTCACAGCTCCCTCCCAGAGGTGCAGGTGCCATCCCTATTCTTTTGTCTCTGTTTTTTCTTTTTTCTTTTGCCCTACCCAAAGAAAACGTGGGGATTTTCTTTCTTTTTGGGAAGTCTGAGGTCTTCTGGCAGTATTCAGTAGGTGTTCTGTAGGAGCTGTTCCAAATGTAGATGTATTTTTGATGTATTTGTGGGGAGGAAGGTGATCTCCACGTCTTACTCCTCTGCCATGTTGAAGGTCCTCCAAAAATTTTTATTTTATATTGGAGTATAGTTGATTAACAATTTGTGTTAGTTTCAATTGTACAGCAAAGTGATTCAGTTATACATATACATGTATCTATTATGTTTAAAATTCTTTTCCCATTAGGTTATTTCAGAGTATTGAGCCGAGTTCCATGTATTATACAGTAGGTCCTAGTTGGTTATCTATTTTAAATATAGCAGTGTGTACATGTCAAACCCAAACTCCCAATCTATCCCTTCCCCCATCCCCTGTAACCATAAGTTTTTTCTCTAAGTCAGTGAGTCTGTTTCTGTTTTGTAAGTAAGTCCATTTGTATCATTTTTTTCAGATTCCACATATAAGTGGTATCATATGATATTTGTCTTTGTCTGACTTACTTCACATAGTGGTGTGCAACTATTTTTTAAAAATTGTTCTACAGGAATTCCCTGGTGGTCCTGTGGTTAGGACTCTGGGCTTTCACTCCTGAGGGCCCAGGTGCAATCCCTGGTTGGGGAACTAGGATCCTGTAAGCCATGGGGTGCGACCAAAAAAAAACTGTTCTAAATAGTTCTTTACAGAATCCATCAAAGTTATTACAAGATTATTTATTTTTTTCAATGCAATAGGACATTAATAATATACTCCTCGTGAGGTATGCAATTCAGTTTTACCTTGTACAGCAATTAAATTGAGTTTCTGACACTGTGAATAATTAAGTAATAGGGCATAGAAGGACAAGTGATTTAGAAGTTGACTGGAATGATTAAAAATATCACAAAAGTTGGAAATGTGTTGCAAAATATTTAAAAATAATTTTTTATTACACTTATTATAATAAAAAAATGTGAAAACCTAACTATTACCATGCACACTCAAAGATTCCTAAGTCCAAATTCTGTTAAATACAACTGATTGGACTGTATGGGAACTGAAGAGAAATAAAAGATGCCAAACTATGAAACAGATAATTATCCATCTCCTTGCTGGTTCTTAGACACATATGATATGACTGGTTGCCAATATGATTAAATAGTCACCATCTAAATTCAACCTAAAGCCTCTATTGTCTCTGTCAATATACTGGAAAAAAAATCAGATAATGTGAAAATCATTCTTTTTTTTTTTTTTTGCGGTACGCGGGTCTCTCACTGTTGTGGCCTCTCTCGTTGCAGAGCACAGGCTCAGGACGCACAGGCTCAGCGGCCATGGCTCACGGGCCCAGCCACTCCACGGCATGTGGGATCTTCCCGGACTGGGGCACGAACCCGTGTCCCCTGCATCGGCAGGCAGACTCTCAACCACTGCGCCACCAGGGAAGCCTGAAAATCATTCTTTTTACTGGAAAATTTTCAATGATCAATAGAACTCTTTAAAAAAACGAAATTGAGAAGAGTAACATATTAACCTATTAAGATTACATTATCTATTAGCTATAGAATTTAACTTTCTAATCACTGGCAAACAAGAGGCAAAGGGCAGACAAAAGTAGGGGGAGGGGAAGAGAAGAGCTGATTTAAAGGAGCATAGTCTGGAGCTGGGAACACTGTGCTAGGATGACCTAAATAAGGAAAACTCTGGACCACATTGCATAACCATAGGAGTCCCCATTCATATTGTAATCTATGAAACTGGTATCTGTTGGAAAATATTCTATATATAATAAATCAGAATGTTAACTTGTCTCCTGAGCCCAACACTGGGGCCATGCTCTGGAAGATAAATTTGTAAAGAATCACACACTGCGTTAATTAGTTTGGTAAAAGGAAGCATAGAAGTTAAAGACAGGAGGTTGGAAAGGCAAACGTCCCCTCTCTGCCTATGTCATGAGGCAACAGTGACCTTCCTTCTGACTCTTCTCACTTCTATAAGGGCACTCTTGAGCGGTATCTGCAATTGAGGGTTTAGTTCTATAAAGAATTATTGTCTCTTACTCCTGGAAGAGAATATTTAGGAGTCCTGAGGTCCAGAGTATTTAAGCAATAATAAAGTCTTCAGAACTCATTGGTTAACTGAAGCATGTATAGAAAATAAAATGAAACTACACAGACATCTGCTTTTGGCTTGATAGAGTGGCTTGTAGAAGACCATTGCTTCCACTGACAACTATTAGAAAAACTAAATAAAATACAGGAAGAAATGATTTGAAGAATCAGAGAGATAATGAATCAACCAGGACAAGAGGATCTACATTGCAGAAAGGCGAGAAGCACAGTTTCCTTCAGGCCACTTTCCTCTCAGGGGATTTGCCAGTTCTCAGAAACATGCATCAGGCTCACAGAACAATGGGTGGAAGAGAAGTCCTCAGAGTTGTAAGCAAGCTCAGGAATGTGGAGACAGAATCTGAGGTTTAGGCTGCTAAGGGAGACAGTATGCAAGCAGGAAGTAGGCAGTCAATAGTCCTGAGGTGTGATATACACACAGAAGAGTGTAGCCAAATGTCTTCTCACATGTGCTGATTAAGCTACGTAGGGCAAAAGGTTAAGAAGGCCAAAAGCAGCTAGAAAATACAGTGAAGGTTTTGACAGTCTCAAGGTATTTAAGATATAAAAATTGGAGTTCATGACTCAGTGAAGAAAAGGTCCCTGGGGAGCACCCTAATCTCTTACATGGAACCTAGAAGGGCTTCACCTTGGGAGTCAGGGAAGAAACAGGAAGACACATACAAAGGTTGCAAAAGATGACAAGTTGGCTCAGGTTCTCACTGGGTTGAGATAACCTGCCCCTCTGATACTAGCAAGAGGATGGGAGAATCCTCCCAGTAGGAAGAAAACATCATTTAGAGCCTCAAAATTCTCATATGCAATGCCCACATTTCTTCAAACGTTCCAAGACCAGCAAGAAGCAGGACAAAGAAAAAAATAGATAATAGAAACAGATACACAGTTGACTCAGATATTGGAGCTATCTGTTATTGACTTTAAGACAACTGGGATTATTAATGTATTCAAGAAAATAAATGACAAGATAAAGAGTTTCAAATGGAAACTGCAGAACAGAAAAACACAATGACTAAAATTTAAAACTCTATTTAATGGGTTTAACAGCAGACAAAACCCAACTCGAGAGATTTTGTGATCTGGAAGATGGGTCAGTAGAAAATATCAAAACTCAAGCACAAGATTTAAAAAAAAAAGAAAAAAGAGAGCATAAAAGACATATAGAACATAATACAAACTTTTAATAACATGTGATTGGAGTCCAGTTGGGCAGGAGAGAAAATGGAGCAAAAGCAATAACTGAAAAGATTTTGCCCAAGATTTTTCCAAAATTATAAAGAGATGTCAAGTTACAGATTTAAGAAGTGGTATGACCTCATGCAGTAGGTTATATAACAACAAAAGAAATCCATCTAGACACATCATAACAAAACTGCTGGACACCAAAAATAAAGAGTTAATCTCTACTTTTTTTATGGAAAGGCATTTTATTTTAAATATAGCAGTGTGTACATGTCAATCCCAAACCCCCAATCTATCCCTTCCCCCTACCTTTCACCCCTGGTAACCATATATTCGTTCTAAAGAGTTAATCTTAAAACCAGCCA